GCACTATCAGCTTTCTTCACCACATTTGCTTATTCACCCGCTTTGTCTTCAGCGGTTGTGTCAGGAAGGTGAGCATCATAGAATGCCAATTTCATAGAACAAAGTATTCTTGCATTGAGGGAGTACTTGAGTGGAGGCCCAATGTCCTTCCATCAGATCTTTTAAACAATTTGACTTTAGAGAACACAATGCCATATAAACATATAAACAATACTACTGCTGAGCTTGTGCTAAGTTAAGGCTCCTGGACACTGATGACTATAGAGTTGGCTCAGCTAAATTCCAGCAACTACTTTCTATAATTAAGTCATTAGTCTTCAAGAAGTTACTTTTATGGGAAAAGGACTTAATGTGAAAAAATGTATTAAGGGTTAATAAATATGACCCAAACTCCAGAGTGTAGCTTTTCTTACCAATTATATTTAAAAGCAATAACAGTGGTGAGGGAAGGTGCCCTGAATAATCTCTCTCTCTCTCTCTTGCTCTCTGATATAGAAGATTTCAAATAATATGCAGCAACAATGAAATCCAGACATTATTTTTTTTCTGGCAATAGAGATGTGAGAATATTTGTCTTGCTAAATATGGATCACAAAAGTTAGTTTTTAAATTTTCATTTATCCGTCATGATAAATATATATATAAGAAAAACATTACAGAAACACAACCACCACAGAAACAAAACTTCAAACCTCTACGTTAAACACAAAGGTGAATAAAATGATACAGAATAGGAAACATAACTGAACATGAAAAGTAACAATAGCTATACTTACACATCAAAATGTACTCTTAGCATAATAAAGCTAAGACATCGTCACAGAAAAAGAAAAAAAGCCTCAACTATCAGAAATACTATTTTGCCTGAGTGCTTCCTTATTTTGGCCTGGAAATCACCAAGTCCAAAACCGCCTTCTTCTTCTTCTTCTTCTTTTTCTCCTCCTCTCCCCTCGTTCACCTCATGCTTCCATCCTTTTCATACTGGGGTACCAGTGTAAGAAGCTCCTGGAGGTGGCCAGTCGGGCAGCAGCTCCTAAGGCAGCAGTGGCTGTACTCCGAGGGATGTAGAACTTCTGAGAAATCTGGTTCTCTGAAGACAAAATCAAGGAGATCTGGTCCATGGTTCCTTGACTCCTGTCGTTGAACAGTGTAATAGCATGGCTACTGGCAAAATCTTCATTCTCTAGGCTTCCTGGAGAGCTGCCCACTGGAGAGGGGAAAAAATAATCTTTACAAAGGGTTCTCATCCTACTTTCTGTGTTCCAATTTCCAGAACCTTATTAACATGTCTTATTACAATCCTCTTCTGTTACAGGGTGGCATTACCAATGGCAAAGTAGAGAATGACAATTTGTGGGGAGAGTCTACCAGAGAGAAGGCGGCTGCAGAACGGGAGCCAAAGACCTGCAAAGACCCTTTAGTCTTTGAATGAGTAACAACCTGCTCACAGGTGTGAGGACATTACTGGGGGCAGGAAAATACCAATCTGAGAGGAGTAGCGCTCACACTGGGACAAAATAATCAGTGTTCTCCCAGCATCATTTCTTGTTCCTCACCCTCCCCGCTTGCTGGGATTCCACATCTGCCTCCAGGAGCAGCCCCACGCAGGCCAATGATGCAGGGAGCTGTCGGTGCCCTGCCATGTTCCCACAGACCTTGGATCCATGGGACTCTGCAGCCACCGGCCTGTGATCTCCCTGCTTACCACTTCTGCTTCATCGGCCTGTAGCTACATGAGGCTGAAGAGGGCTCTGCCTAACCTGGGGCCCGTGGACTTGAGTTGGACTGGGTTGGGCTGACTTCTTGATATAAAATTGTTTCTTAGACATCTATGATTGTCCCTGGTTTTATTTCTTTAGCCAACCCAGCCTAACACATTGTGCTACAAGGGCTGAATAGTTAGAAAACAAACCAAACGGTGTGCAAAACATTGTATTTGTTAACTGTGAACATGCCTAAACCTACCTGAGCCAGAATGCTTTTCTGGGGAATCAACCACTGTAGCAGTTGAACTGGGTGCTGTGGGGATCTGGGTTTGCTTTGGCTGATTCTGAATGCCCCCTTCTGTTGACTGCTGGGAGTGGATCAGAGAGATGTACAGCTGCTCCAATGACTTGGGCAGTGTGGAAGAATCCAAAGACTCCTTTAAGGTTGGTTGCTACAGAAGGGGAAAATTGGGGCAAAAGCATGAAAAATAACTGATGGTATCAAAAACAGATCAAGTGTTCTTTATTTTCTCACTTATATATGAGTACAAGGCAATTATTATTTCCCATATCACAATTAAATAAAACTCACCTTTAACAACCTAGATATACCCCGTATATACTCGCGTATAAGCCAACCCAAATATCAGCCGAGGCAACTAATTTTACCACAAAAACTACATTAAAAAATGTGCTGAAAAACTCGGCTTATATACAAGTATATACAGTTCTTTAGAAACAAGTACTTCTCTAACTTAATGACAATGATTGACAGTAAATTCAAGAAACATTTATTGATGAGTAGTCTACAAAGTTCTGCCACACAAAGCTAAGGAAGAATGGCAAGCTGTGAGAGAAACGACATTCACTGAGGCACAGAACTAGGTTCGCTGAACACGAACGAGCCTGTTTAGGGGGTATTGTTAGGTCTTCTTTATTATGACTTCTTTCACTTAGCATAATGCTCTGTCCAGCACCGATGAATCAGCAAGGTTGATCCATAAATGGCAAGGCAGAGATCTGAACTCAGGCCCATATGTTCTCTGTGCTCCACTACCTTCCAATAAGATATGACCTGTCCTAAAGGAACTCACAGTCCTCAGCCAAGAAAAAGAAACAAATGCAGCAACTCATGAAAAAAGGGAGTGACTACATCTTGCAACTTGAACAAGTGCTAGGAGAAGGCAAAGGAGTTACAGCAAAGTTCTTCAGAAGTGATAAAATTAAGAACCAGGGTTGAGAGAAAAAGGTGAACTTCTTGGCAGAGTTTCCTAGTACTACTAGAATATACCACCATGGGTGGCTTTCAAAAACAGAAATTTACTTTCTCATAGTTTAGGAGGCTAGAAGTGCAAATTCAGGGTGCCAGCTTCAAGGGAATGCTTTCTCTCTCTGCTCTGTGCAAAAATCCCAGTCTTTCTACTTCTCTTCCTTGGTTCTATGATGATCTCCATGTCACATCGATCTTTTTCCATTTCTACTGCCTTCCTTCTAAGCCTAACCAGCTCTTTTTAGATCTCAAAAGTAACTGATTTAAGATACGCCCTACACTGACAGATATTGTGTTAGTCTGGGTAGACTAGAGAAACAAATTCATGGACACTCATGTGTATAAGCAAGAGCTTTATATACAAGAGCAATTGAATATTGAGAAAAAATTCCAGCCCAGTCCAGATCAAGTCCATATGTCCAATACCAATCTATAAAATCCTCTTCAGACCCACGAAACATATGCAATGGCGTCAAATGCAGGAAGATCACAGGCCAGTAGGTGGGAAGTCTTGTGGATCCAGTGACGTTGCAAGCATCTCAGCAATGGCAAGGGTCTTCACATGGTTCCTCCAGCTCAGGGGACTAGGGTAGCTCCATGTGTCTTGTCAGCTGCAATATCTCCCAGGGAGAGAGGGTGTATCCTGCCTCCATCGAACTATTTATCTCCATAGCATATCCAAATGAGGTCATCAAACTACGACCTGATTGACAGGCCAAACTCCACCCCTTCACTCATAAGTCTCAAATTGACATCAGATTATGTAACTACCACAGAACCACACAGAAAACCCTACTCCCCAGTGAGATAGCGTATACAAGAATAAACTAAAAGCCAATATCAGTGTGACCTATAGCACAGAGTAGAACGTCCCCCCATGCAGTTTCCTAGGGTATAATAAGCAGATGGCCACATTTTTCTCCTGAAGTGGGTTCAAACTACCAACCTTCAGGTTAGCAGCCCAGTACTTCACCACTGGGCTATCAACACTCTTATACCCAAGAACAGGGGTTAAGATTGCACTTGAGGGGATACAATACAATCTGTAACATTTCCCGAGATTTAAGTTGAGCTAAAGTGATTAGACAACCAAGTTTGAGCTACTAGGAGCCAGAGCCTCTATATCAGGCATCCTCAAACTACGGGCCGTGGGCCACATGTGGCCTGCCAAGGACATTTATCCGGCCCGCCAGGTGTTTTTGCCCCATTTGTTTTTTTACTTCAAAATAAGATGCGCAGTGTGCATGTGCATAAGAATTTGTTCACAGTTTCTTTTAAAACTATAGTCTGGCCCTCCAACAGGTCTGAGGGACAGTGAACTGGCCCCGTTTAAAAAGTTTGAGGACCCCTGCGAGTCTACATTATCCCCACACAGAAACACTGCTCAAGTAAACATGTTGTTGTTAGTTACAATTGAGTCATTCAGATTCATGGCAATGCTATGTGTACACAGCAGAACTTCTCCACAGAATTTCAAGTCTGTGAAAAGTCGGTCTATACTGTCGCTCTAGTTAAGTGCTGTTGAGGAGACCCAACTCATAGCAACCCGATGCAACAATGCTCAGTCCTGGACGTCTCCACAGTTATGTGTGAGGCCGTTGGGACAGCTACGGTGTCAGTCCAGCTCATCAAGGGCCATGCTTTTTAGCTGTCCCTCCACTTTACCTACCAGGATATCCTTCTCCACGGGCTGTTCCCTTCTGACAGCATGTCCAAAGTACCTGAGATGAAGCTTGATCCTTCTCCCTTCTAAGGAGCATTCTGGCTGTACTTCTTTCAAGACAGACTGTTTGGTCTTCTGGAAGCCCACAGTACTTTCGGTATTCCTCACTAACACCATCATTCTCCTGTTTTCCTTACTCATTGGTTAGCTTTCATATACATATGCGGCAAGTGAAAATACCAAGGCTTGGGTCAGGTAAACCTTAGTCCTCCTGAGCCCGCAGAGTGGTAACTTTGCTTCTTTCACACTTTGAACTGGTCTCTTGCAGATTTGTCCAAAGCAGTATGTCCTTTGAGTTCTTGACTGATGCTTCCATGAGCGTTGATTGTTGATCCAAGTAAAATGAAATCTTTGATAATTTCAAATCACGTCTCTAGTTATCATGATGTCGTTTATTGGTCCAGCTGTGAGAGGATCTTCCTTTTCTTTGCACTGCGTTTTGACACATACTGAAGGCTGCAGTCTGATCTCCATCAGGCAGTGTTTCAAGTCCTCCTCCTTTTCAACAAGCAGGGTCATAATGGGCCTTCGCCACTCCTGACACTTTTCTTTTCCACAGAATCCAGCTGTTTGTAGTAACTGCTGAAAATGCTGATTGACTAAGTATGGTCAAAGGATACATACACCTTTCCTGATCACAAACCATGTCCTGTAGAAATAACTACATCTTGGTCTATGTACACGTTCTGTGTGAGCACAATGAAGTGTTCATTGCAATGTTACCTGTAGGGTGTGTGATGGTCCACACAGTTGAATGCTATTGAAGAGCCAATAAAACACAAGTAATACCGTTCTGGTGTTCTCTACTTTCAGCTAATAGCCATCTGATGCCAACAATAATATTCTTCATTCTATGTCCTCTTCTGAATCTGCCTTCAACTTCTGGCAGCTCCTTCATGTCCAGTGGCAACCATTTTGAATTATCTCCAGCAAAAAAAGTGAAAGTGGGTATAGTCTATGGTAACTTATCAGGGTTTATCTTCTGTGGTGTTAACTGGTGTCAAGATTACCAAAACAGGGTCCTTCAGGACCACACTATAATACACTGACCTAAGTGGTTTACAATTTGGGGTTACCTAGAGCATGCTGAAACAATAATTAGATAAACAGAAAAGGGAGCTGTGTGTGTGTGTGTGTGTGTGTGTGTGCGCGCACGCGCTTAAGCATGGTAGACAACAATGCTTTACATTACTTCCATGGCAAAACTCTATAGTGACCATTTAAAAAAATCACTGGCACAAATGTGGCTTATACAATTATATAATATGCAAATGGCCATTTGTGTACTATACAATGACATATAAGGTAATGGGCAACTTCCTCAAGTGCTTGCTGAACCACTTGTATAGGGTATGCTACATAGATTACATAGGACCCAACCGTAAGCTTTAGCAAAGGTACACTGGAGATGACAGCAGGAAAGTAGTGAGGCAAAAGCTGCATCTTGTGAGATAACAAGCCAGAATGTCCCACAACTATGAAGGTGATCAACTTTCTGATTTGATCAGTAAACCACTGATTTACTCAGTAAATCCAAATGAAATCAATATAGGTATATCATAGTCAAACAGTGAAAGTCCAGTGCCAACAAGAAACACACGAAAATAAGCCAGCGGAAAACAGACACTAATGTCCAAGGACAAATGATAAACATGACAGATGACAATGTCCAAGGGCAAACTGAATAGCTGAGATGTCAACAGAAGCCAGAAAACAATGGGATACAATCTTCAAAGGGTTGAAAGAAACAATATCAGTCTAACACCCACACCGGGGAAAATATCCATCAAAAAGAAAGATATAGGTAAAATATATGCAAAAATTGTTAATCAAGCAGACCTGCACTACAAAAAAAGAAAAAATAGAAGGGAATTCTTCAGGCTGAAGGAAAAGGATCCCAGACAGAAGTACGTAACTACAGGAAAGAATGACGAGGACAAATATGTGGCTAACTATCGCTGACTATATGACACTGTAAAACGCAGCTGCAGTATGTAGCTATCACTGACTATATGACTCTGTAAAACGTAGCTGCACTACGTGGCTAACTAACGCTGACTATATGACTCTGTAAAACATAGCTGCACTACGTGGCTAACTAACGCTGACTATATGACTCTGTAAAACATAGCTGTACTACGTGGCTAACTAACGCTGACTATATGACACTGTAAAACGTAGCTGCAGTATGTGGATAACTATCGCTGACTATATGACACTGTAAAATGTAGCTGCAGTATGTGGATAACTATCGCTGACTATATGACTGTAAAACGTAGCTGCACTATGTGGCTAACTATCGCAGACTATATGACTCTGTAAAACGTAGCTACCATATGTGAGACCACATTCCTACAATCCTAAAAGGGCCATCAACACATATCCTCGGGATGTTAAGATAATACTACAACTAGTTTGATGTCATTTTCATTTTTGCTTAAAAAGTGAACACTGCTGAGGGATTTTTCAGTTATATTAATTCTTATTAATAAATAAATACCTCTATCAGTTTTAGTTAATCTTTTCAAATGATCCCACTTTTGGTTTTGTTTTTCTGTAGACTTGTTTTATACCTCATACACTTGCTCATACACTTATTTCTACACACACACACACACACCCTACTTTCTTGGGTTAAACAAGCAATCCTTTTTCTAGATTCTTAAGACACAAATTTAGATGACTGATTTTCAAATTTTCTTAAATGGAACAAGAAACAAATCTGAATACTGATGTGCATGAAAATTAAATCAATAGCTTAAAAGCTTTACACACACACACACACACACACACACACACACACACACCTCTTGGTCTAGATGGTGAAGTTGTCGCGCAAATATTTAGGAATAATATCCAAATCACAGTGTCTTCTAAAAAGAGAAACAGAGGGACATGCTTCATTTTAGGGCATATTGATATCAAATTCTGGAAAGGGCAATCATAGAAAAATTATACACCACTCCTTGTCATGAAAGGACGTCCTGGGTGGCACACAGAGTTAAATGCTAGACTACAGCTGGAAGTGCCTCAGAAGAAAGGCCTGGCATTCTGCCTGAGAAAGGCCGCCCCGTCTTAACGCGCTCTTCAAGCGCAGTTCTCCTGTGACCCACACGGGGTCACTAGGAGTCGGAGCAGATGCAATGCAACTGGTTTTGTTTTCAGTTTTACAAGGATATGCAAAGGTCCGGGAAGACCGAATCCAATCTGGAGGGGTCCCGACTCTCACACTGCTTGAAGGAGTATAAAACGGTGCAGCTACTTTGTAAACATTTAGCAGTGCCTCAAAACTGCTAAATATAGGTACCCCAGGAGCCAGAAACTCCACTCCTAGGGATGTAGCTGGGAAAAATGAATATATATGTCCAAACCAAAAGCTCATCAACCAGTGAATGGAAAATAAAACTGTGTATAGCCTTACCTCGAAAGACTACTCATTTTATAGAAAGACCTACTTTAGTGCCCATTTTTGCTAACTGGAAGAAATCTGAGATTTTAAATTTTACAGTAAAAGGCAAAAAGCAAAAAAAAGAGAAAGAATATTCAGCAATAAAAAGAATTGAGTACTGATACATGCTATTAACATGGGTGAACCTTGAAAATATTGTGCTAAGTAAAAGAAGTCAGTCACAAAAGACCACATATTTTATGACATTTATACAAACTATCCAGTAGAGGTAAGTATATAAAGAAAGAAAGCAGCCCAGTCGTTGTCTAGGACTGGGGGAGGATCGACAAGGGGAGTTACTGCTAAGGGAATGGGGATTTTGGTGTGTTTGTTTTTAAAGATGATGAAAATATTCTAAATCGATTGTACTGATTCCTTGTACCCTTTAAGTAGGCGAATATGAATGGCATGGAAATTAAGCTCTTATTAAAAAAACTGTAAGGAAAACAAAACACAAAAGTCGATCTTACACTAAAACTAAGTCCGTGCTCTTCAATGATCCGCCTTTCTGGAAGCAGCTGCTCTTTGTAATACTGCATGATCTTATGACTGTTGCTATGTAAGGCAGCTATAACCTATGTGGAATATATTGCCCAAATCTTCTTTTTCAACACTTCTCTCAGGCTTGAGCCTATCTCTCAATGTAACACACAAGAGTAAGGAAGCCTGGGAGCCCAGTTCCACGATTCTCACACTTGACCTGCTGTCTTCATGGGGTGATAATGTCTTTCAGCAAAACGGGTGTACTCTGTGCCAGGGTGAGTTCTTTCTGCAAAGCAACATGAATGAAGCACACATTGCTAAGCTAGACGACAAAGCAGATACAGAACTGAAGATGTATGGCTAAATTACAGGAACATGCGCTTCCTCTATTTTAATATATTCTGAAGAACTAAACCACATAAACAGAAATTAATTTAAATGAACTTATACATGGATATATTTTACCAACTGCCAAGATGAGGATCACTGATCAGAGTTTTACTGTGTGAGAAGGAAGGTACGGTTCTAGACAAATGTCACAATCAATTGATTGGACATTGGCCTTTTGAATCCTGGCTGTGCCAGTATTTTTCCCTGAGCACCCAGTCCTTCGTGTTTGGGACCTTCTACTTGCATTCCATTCACAAGGCCTGAGGGGTGCCATGAATCATCCCATGTGTCTTGGGGTGTGGAAAAACACCAGCGCTATAGAGGAAAAATGCAATGGACCAAGCACACAATGCCACGGGATTCAAACAGAAGAACACGTGGGCACGGAAAAGGCAGAGAGGTATGTTTATTGAAAGAGAAAAGAGATTTGTTAACTGTCTGCATCAGCAGACTTTCTCCCTTGCTTCCCTGGTCTGTGCCTAACCATGAATTCCTCTGAACAGCTGGGGCTCAAGAATCAAACACAGCTCTACTGGTGTTTTCTTTAGTGCTGTTTATATGGCCAGATGATTTTTTCATCACTCTCTCGTAGTTAGAAGGCACAAACACTAACTGCAGATATTTGCTTCTACAACCAGTGGGAAATTAAGCTTTAGATATAGACTCAGGCCTCATATTAACAAACATGCTCACGGCAGAGACCCAGAGGATATATTACAGGGCTAATTCAACAAAAAGTAAAGACAGTTCTTTAGTTTATTTGTAAACACCCGAGGCTCTGACTAAAGGGCCAAGATAAAACAAAAGGAGGTAGATGGGCTCGTGGCCCATAAGTGCACGGCTGGCACTCTTCTGCTACTCTCTCCCCGAGCCCTCCCTCCTCTCACTAACCAAACATTTCATTCACTCCTCTGATTAATGCTCTAGGATTTAGGGATATACAGCTTTCTTGATGCTTGGGCAATTAAATTTAAGTTCCCCCTTTTTCCAGCAATGGTTTGTTTTCTGTTTTTCCAGAGAGCTAACCTTCTGCGAAATGTCTTTACTTGAAGGATACTGTTTCTTTCCTCCCATGCTTGAGGCAAACAGATTGGAGGCAGCACTGCTTCCTTTTCCCATTTCCCAGTTCTCATCCCAAATATCATCACCTATGGTCACCGACTCCAGGCATGGCATTCCAGTAGGAATCTCATCCTAGAATGTATAAGAAAACAGAAAACTACAGTACACAGCTCCTGTAAGGGCACATTTTAAAATTCAGGTTTACTTTTTTCCCCTCTCATTTTCCAAGACAGCAGTTTGAAAACACAAATTAGGAGAAAATATGTGCAAACCATACATCCAAAAATTAAAAAAAAAAAAAAAAAGAACCAATCAAAGGAAAACCAGTGTACGTGCTCTGGTCTAGTCAGATTTGTAATGCAGAACTGGGATCATGATAGTGGGGGGTAGGAAGTATTAAAGAACTACAGGAATGTTGATTGTTTCATCAGTGCTATACTGTACCCTGGCTGGCTTGACACACAGAATCCAGGACAAATAAACCCCTGGGTAATAATAATGGGAGTAGCGATACCAGGAGGGTAGGGGGAACCAATCGCAATAATCAATGTATAACCTGCCCCCCCACCAGGGTGACGAACAACAGAATCATGGGTGAAGGGAGATAATGGTGTAAGATATGAAAAAAATGATAATTTATAATTTATCAAGGGTTCATGAGGGTGGGAAGGGGAGGGAGGGAGGGATAAAAAAGAGCTGATACCAAGGACTGAAGTAGAAAGAAAATGTTTTGAAAAGGATGATGGCAACATGTGTACAAATGGGCTTGACACAATGGATGTAGGGATTGTTATAAGAGCTGTAAGAGTCCCCAATAAAATGATTAAAAATGAAAGCTAAAAAGTGGAAATAGCCAAGATGTTTCTCAAATGATAAAAGGTTAGACAAACTGTGCTATAGACAAGCCCTGGAATACTACTCAACAATACACAGGAAGCCACTACTGATGTATCCAATGACTTGGATGAATCTCCAGGGAATTATATGAGTGAAAAAGGGCCAATCTCAAAAGGCTACTCACTATATGATTCCATGTATATCACACTTTTTGAAAAAACAAATTTTAGAAATGGAGAACAGCTGAGTAGGTGCCAGGGACTATGGATGGTGAGTGTGGAGGTGGGAGAAAGGAGAACCTTGGTTCTCTATTATCTTGACTGTGGTGCTGGATACATAAACCTCCTAATGTGTTAAAATCATACAGATGTAAATACACACACCACAGCACAAAAATGAGTACAAGGGAAATCTGGTCAAGGTTTGTGGATTTTATCAATGTCAGTGTCCTGTTAGTGATATTGTACTGTACAGGGCAAGTCCAGAAGTATGAATTACTGCTATGGTTCCAATTCATACATGCAAAGGTATATTCAAAATATGACAGGGTTAAACACATCTCTCTCATCCGTGGATGGGTTCAGCCAAGGTCTCCCAGTAATACACTTGTCTTAGTCTCCTTAGGGGGTTTAAACAAACAAACAGACCAATAAAAATTGTATGCCAAATTAACAATAGAAGATAATTTATCAAGGAGTCCAGATGGTCAGAGGGTGAGGGGTGGGGGAGGGGAAGCTGATACCAAGGGCTCAAGTAGAAAAAAAAATGTTTTGGAAATGTTGATGGCAACATATGCACAAGTGTGCTTAGTACAACCGAATTGATGGGTTGTTATAATAATCATTTTTAAAAGTGTCTTTGAAGGGTATCTGCTGGGCCACTTAAATTCAAGGTGGAGTGGCAGCTCAGGAAATCAGTGACTGTTTCTGAGTCTACAAAAGGGTAGACCATGGATGACCAGGGGGTCCAGTGGGAAGAATCTTGAATGAAGCTGAAAACTGCATTGGTGAGAAAGATGTCAGGCAGGTTGCACTGAGGAATGTTGTCCTACCGCTACAACGTGCCTGGCTCATTCTTTTTGGGGTAGTGAAAGTTGCTCTACAAGCATTGCCATGGGAACCCTACCCCAGCCACCCTACAGCCCCGATCTTGATCCTCTGGGCCTTTCTTCCCCAAACTCAAAGAACAATGAAAGGAACAGAACTGGAATTCCCTGCGGATGCCCAAACTGCATTTTTGAAGTAGGGTAAAACCAAGAACACAGAATTCTTCAGGGAAGAGCTGGAGAAATGGAAACAGCACCTTCCGGTGTGCACAGAAACAAGATAATCACATTTTGATATTTCTGTTTAATAAAGGTTTCTATGATTTTGCAGTAGTATTTTTGACTTAGCCTGGTAATTTGGAAAAAATGTTTCAAGGTGGGAAACAAGTTAGGGCTGCATGGCATCTGACTCAGCAGTACACGAGTCTTCAGTGATCTCAAAGGAAATTTTACATAGTTGATAAAAGAAAGGCAGAATATAGATTCTGTATAACCTTGCTCAGAAATAAAAGAGGTGGGAACATTTTCTAACTCATTGTATGAGGCCAGTGTTACCCTAGGTCTAAAACCAAGCAAAGGCAGTACAAGTTAACTGCAGACCAACATCCTTGAAGACAGATTTTAAAATCTTCAACAAATTAGCACCAAATGGAATCCAGCAACATACAAAAAGAATTATACACCACAACCAAGTGGGGCTTATTCTAGAAGTGACAGGGTAGTTTAATATTCGATAATCTACTAATGCAATACACCATTTTCACAGAATAAACCAGAAAAAGCACACAGAAAGAACATTTAATAAAATATCTCATTATAAAAGAAATACACAGGAACTTTCTCTACATGATAAAAGGTATCTATATAAAAACTTCAAGTTAGCACACTTAATGGTAAGAGAATGCTTTTCCTAGACACAAACAAGAAAAGGATGACCTCTCTCACAATTCATGTTGAATTTGAAATGTAGCCAGGGTAAAAAGACAGAGAGGAAAAGAGCCTGATTGGAAAGGAAGAACTAAAATTGTCCCAAGTCTCTGATGACATTTTCTATGTGAAAAATCTCAAATGACCTGACCAAAAAATTCTCCTAGAACCATTAAGTATAGTTACAATAATCAATTGTCTTTAGATATACTAGCAATAGAAAGTGGAAATAAAACTTTAAAAAAGTATTTATAATAGCTCCCAAATTAAATCAACTACATAAGTTAAAAGTAGTTACAACAACACATACAGCTTGTATATAATTAAAATTATACAACTCTGATGAAGAAATAGATGTAGAAATAAATGAAACCCTAAGTTGTGAGATATACTGACTGGGTTACAGACTGGAAGACTCAATATATGTAAAGATGTCAGTTTTTCTCAAAAATTTAATATGGATTTAATGCAATCCTAATTAAATCCAAGCAGTGTGTATATCTATCTATCTAGATATAGATATATACTACTTAGACTTTATTAAATATATATAAGCTAATTTGAAAATTTATATGGAACGTAAGAGGAAATGGAACATTAAATGTTGTTTCTCCATGCTAGTTTCTAATCACTGCATAATGCTTCAAAACTTCCCAGAGCCAAGAGATAGTATGAACACATCCAACCAGATAATGCTTCTTATTTTCTATGATCAAGGCTATTTTGTGAACTTAGGTCTTGGTGGCGACTGAAGAAAGAACCGCAATTCATCTGTGGGAAAGCAGAATTTTAAGAGCTCTTTTATTCTAGCCGCCTCCCGTTATGAATTAGTTAGACCACATTAAAAAAATAAAGCCACTTTTCCTTCTCATACCTCATTTTCTTCCTTCAGACCCTTTGGCATTGAGTTGGCCCATTTTGGATCTTCTTCACAGGCCTTATCCTTGGGTTTCTAAGAACTAAATTCAGAATCCTTTAATGACTTCTCTGATTCAGATTTAAGGTGATATAAAGCCTTTTCATCGTTAAAATCTTGCTAATAGATATGAAAGAGAAATAATTTTATATTTTTGTTCTAATGCTGTTTTCAAATTCTATATTCCTGTAAGTTTGGTAGGAGGGGTTATTTCACTATTGTTCATACAAATTCTACGTGATTTCCTAGTATTATCCATGACCTATTCTGCTAGGTTAGTTCAGGCAAACCAGCATTTATTCCGTGCATGTTGTGCTATGTCTAAGGAGCAGCTACAATATAACAGATATCTGACAGAAATGTAACTGGGTGAATAAGGTATCTAAGAATAATGAAAGATAGTAAAACTGTTAAGATGCTTAAAAGATGAGTAAGAATTCATAGGTGACTGGGCATATAGAGGCAGGTGTGTGTGTGTAGCATACAAACTGATACATTAAAATACAAATTGGAATGGGTTAAGGGTGATTTAAGTCTTATCTTTTGGCAGAAAATATGACCTTATTCATTTCCTGGAATGAATTCTGATTATTTGAAGATATTTAACAGTGATGTTAGAACTTTCTAAAAATTTTAAAGTTTCAATTAAATTCACTACTTAAGAGCCAGAAAATACAATTCTTCTAAACTAGTAATAAAATGTGGGGGAAAATTGAGGCTTTAAATTGCTATAGATGTGAAATGAGGGATTATTATTTGATGTCAGAAGGATCTTGGCTGAAAGCAGAGAATACCACAAAGATGTTTACTTATGCTTTATTGACTAACAAAGGCATTTGAATGTGTGGATCATAGCAAACTATGGATAACATTGTAAGTAATAAGAATTCCAGAATATTGAATTGTGCTCATGGGGAACTTGCAGATAGACACAGAGGCAGGTTTAAAATCAGGAAAGTGTGCATCAAAGTTGTATTCATTCACTCTGTATGATGAGCAAACTGTCCAACAGGCTGGATTCTACGGAGCAGAACATGGCTTCAAGATCGGAAGAAAGGTTCCTTAACCGTCCACACTACATGCACCTAATACAACCTACGCACCAGAAGTGAAAAAGACTTGAAGCTGGACAAGAACAAAGTATGGACAGAAAACTAAAACCCTCACAACTGGACCAATAATCAATGTCATGATAAACAGAGAAAAGACTGACCTTGTAGAGACTTTCATTTTACTTGGACCCACAATCAGTGCCCATTACAGCAGGAAATCAAAAAATCAAATGACAGCACGCTGGGCAAATCTGTTGCAAAAGACTTCTGTTACGGGTTAACAAGTAAAGATGTCATGCTGAGGACCAAAGGGTACCTGACCCAACCAGCCTATCTTCAATCATTTCATTGCACGCAAAAGCTGGACGATGAACGAGGAGGACAGATGAAGGATTAATGCATTGGGATGTAATGGCAATGAACAGTCAGTGTAGCATGGGTGGCCAGAAAAACAAATACATGTTTTGCAAGCAGCATAGTCAACTTGCTCCTTAGAAGTACAGGTGGTGAGACTTAGCCTCACATACTCTGGCATGTGACGCTCAGCTTTAATAAAATAGAGGGTGGGCGAAGAGAGGAAGACCCCCACAAAATGGGCTGCCACAGTGGCTGAAAGAAAGGTTCACACAGACCAGTGCTTGTGAGCATGGCGCCGCCACCCCGCAGTGTTTGTCCTGCTGTGCACAGGCTTGCTTCCTGCCTCACATGACCCCTCACAATAACAAGCAAGCTCAAATAATTCAACCATAAACCAGACATCCAAAACGTATTGTTCTGGACATGCAGCACTAAATGTTGGTACCGGTTAATTTTCAAGTAGTTAAAATGGCATTTTTTCCCGTCTGTTCCTAACAACCAGCAAATGGCTAGTAAAAATTAAAATCTCTATGATTTTATTTAATAGTCATATATATAAAACATTTTTAGCTTTTAATATTTTATTCAAAGAAAATTAAAATCCCTGGGGTACCAAAACATATTTTTGGGTCTTTGCTAAAATGAAAAGCCATGACCTTCATTATTCATTTGTGAATTCCCTTACTAAAATTTATTTGTAACCCCAGAATCAATACTCAAAGCACTTTCACATCACTTGCAGACAAGAATACTGGCAAAAAAATCTGAGGTCCATAAATGCACATGTCCCAGTTGTGGTCAAACAAGACTGGATCAATATTGGCTAGTTTGGTATTTGTGAGAATCTTGGATAGTGAATAATAAGAATCAACTGTACATCCTATATTCTTAGCCCAGTATGCGTTGTCAAAAGGAATGCAAGACTCTGAGGTTGTATTAATTTTATTTAAAAACATTTATGTCATTACTTAGTGCCTCGTTTTCTGCATCTCTGAAATAAGAACATTGAAGCACCAACCTAGTAAGATTGCTGTAAAGATTAAGTTAGCAAATATATGTGACTGCTTGGACAGTACTTGCCAAATTACGCACGTTCAATAAATGTTATTATTAGCATTAGTTATTATGGATGCTAATGTATAAAGTATGAGGCAATAATAGATAATAATAACAATAGTGTTACTACTGTGAACTGCAGTAGCCACAAGGTTTGGAGAAAAGCAGGACAAGATACTACTTGCAGAAGCACCTCAGGTGTGTAGGGGAAGAGAGCAGCACGTGAATCAATGGTGGGGAAGCACAGAAACAACGGCAGCATGAGAGTTTGAGTGCAGGAGAGAAATCCCACCGTAGAAATCACATCTGCGTGACTGGAACAGGATGAAGCCCGCAAATAATGAGGGGGGGGGCCAATGCTAAGAACACTGTGTAAAACTTCTGAACTTTTTAAAGCCGTGGTCTCTCGATCTATAAAACGCAAGTGATTACTTATGGTGACTAGCTCAGGATGTTTAAGGATTAATTGTCATACTTCAAATACTAGTAAGTGTTCAATAAACATTAACAATAATAAAAAGTTACAGTAATGCTGGCAAAAACCTCTTACCAGTGAATATGGTTCACTCTCTTTTGATGGTGGGCTTATCTCTCGGTCTTCATTAAAATAGTGTGGCTGTGAGGGACAGTTCAGCTCTGCCAAGACGACGTCCTCTGAGCCTGGGCTGGACTCCGTGTACAAGGCTAAAGGGTTGAGCTCTCGGAAACCCTAGGACGAAACCACACGGAGGGTGGTTGGGTCATATGACCAAGACAGAAAAACAAACTCAAACAGCTAGCACTTACGTTTTCAACTTCTGTGGAATGTACTTTCTCATAGAATTTAACGGTTAGAAGTTTCAGGATATTGACAGTTTTTCCAAGTTAAAAAAAAATCATCCACATATATATTAATGATCATACGAACATCACTACTAGTAACTGCAAAAGACTTGCTCTTCTCTAGGAAAACTTCAGAGAATTAAATACTTTGGTGCATAAAATAAGAGCCCTCAACCAAATATTTAAAACTAAAATTCTCATATCTTAAAAGGACAAGAAGCCAAATGTATTTGTAGTATTTTTTCTGTTCATCTGAAAATTAGAGTGTTCTACATGTGGAAGACAGGAGTCTCACAGGTATCTCTAAGGTTAAAGAAAAATCAAATAATTTTCTTTATCAAATACACTTACACCTTTAAGTATAAGATTCAATAAATATATTAAATAAAATATATATTTAAATATAGAAGGCTCCACCTTAGAAGGAACATTTTCTCGGCATACAATCGCATAGCCCTCCGTTCTCAAGACGTGATGGAAGTAGACATCTTCATTTGAGGATGTGTCACACAGAAAAAGGTTAAGGATTCCATCTATGTATTCATCTACTACCCCCACTAATGGCTTCAAACCACACAACTTCTGGAACTGCAAAACAGCTTTCGGTGTCCAATATTCCTAAAATACAATTGAGAGGTTAGAATCCAGTGACAGATTTAAAATATAAATAGTAATAATTATACAAAAATGAATTCAGAGTAACTAGAGATATAAGTGGAAAAACAAAACCATAAAAGTCCAAGATTAATGCATCAGAGAATATGTATGATTTGGGAATGATGGAAGTAGGATGGGATATTAGAAAAATAGTGAAAACTGTGATTACAGAAAAAAATAGTGGAAAACTTCAATCTTCAGAAATAGTGGGCTACATTACTGGGCCAACCCTCCCACAGAAAGCAACTCGAAATTCTGTGATAAAATATGTCTAAAAAGGATGAAAGAACTGACAAAACAATAACAAAAACTATCAGGTCAAAACTGGAGGGAAGACAGGAGCTACTGTTATTGAGGCTAATTTGGAGGGGGTGGTGGTGGTGAATCAAAGCCAGTGTCTACCAGACAGTGAGTGGAGAGGACAACTATCTTTCTTCAGGCTGGGTTCCTTTGGAAACACATGTTCAGGGTATGAATGATAAGAAATAAACTGTGCCCACATAGACTTTTCAGCCCACGAATTCACAAACTCTTCATTAAATGAAGGACGAGCAGTCCTCCTAAGCACCTGGCAGAAGCCAATGCAAACCCCTCTGGAGGAAGACACCCTCCCTCCACCGGTGTTATTCAATCATCCCCACAACAAATAGAACAGGAGCTCCAAGGAAGGCAAATAAAAGCAATGCATTGCGCTCAAGAGCAAGTAGAAACAACAGATAACTGAAGCAGATCCTCAAAGACTTCACATACTTGAATTTTGAGACAAATCCAAAAACAATAATAATAATCAGGCTGCTTGAAAACTCCTGCAGAGACCAGCCAATTATGAAAATTAATATACCAGATTAAGGGGATAGAGTTATAATAAATACACAATAACCAAAATTAAAAACCTAGCAAATTAGAGTAAACTGATGAAGGGAAAGATAATTCAGAAAAAATTGCCCAGAGTCCAGCATGGAAGCACAGAGTTGTAAAATAAGAATAAGTCCACACACAAACACACTATACCAAAATCTTAAAGAGGGCTTTACATTTAAAAAGCAGCAGGGGTGCCAGAAGCCACTGTAATGGCATCTTCAATGTGCTGAAGACATCACTGTCAACCTAGGCTCCCACTCCCAGGGAATTGTCTTTCAAGAATAAGCACAAAACAATGGCATTTTCAAATGAGACCTTTCTAGAGTATTGAGAAGCAAGGATAACTATTTTACCACTAACCTCTCACTAAAGGAAATCCTAAATGCTCTAGTCCCAGTAGAAAGAAAATGATCACAGATGAAAGGCTTGAGAGCAGAAAAGGAATGAAAATCTAAAGAAACCAAGAAACATGTTACTAAAATTAAACAGACATTATCTTATGCAGTCAACTTCTCAAGGAGCTATAATGTAGAAGAAATATGGGTCAAAAGGGGGACGTAAAGGAACTACTGTGCTCTGATATCACAGCACTGATGTTCACATACAGGCTTAATGTGTAGGGAAATCATTAAAATAATTTAGTGCATTCTAAACTGATAGTAAAAAAATGGAATAAAAATTATTTTCAAAGAAGGCATGCAAAATAAGAGAACCAACCAAAAGGCAGACCATATAGTAACAACAAAATAAAGGACATATTTAAACCCAAAGATACCAATCATTGCATTAAATGTAATTGAACTACTGCTCTATTTAAAAAACAAAATGTATCAAGCACGAGTTTCTAAAAATACAACTATATGTAGTTCATAAAAGACACATCTAAATCATTTAAGGGTACAGATGAATTGAAAGTAAAATGAGAACTAACACCCCAGGAAGCTATGTTTTAAATGGAAAGTGATGGAGATATATTAATATGAAATAAATCAAACTTGAAGGCAAAAAAAGGTACTAGAAATAAATAGACTAACTTTAAGATGATAAAATATTCAGTTCACCATGAAGATATACCACTTTATTCTGAATGTGTTTAAATAACAAGCCTCAATGCATATAAATTTAAAAACGGACACAGCTATGCTTGCTCAAAGTGGGGACTTGACGCGCTTGCTGATGAAGAGAAAGGATTTCAGCCTTCAGTATGGATTACAACTCAAGGTAAAGACCCCAATCCTCACCACTGGACCAGTGGGCACACACAGCATGATAAATGGAGAAACGGTTGACGTTGTCCAGGATTCTGTCTTGCTTGAATCCCAAATCAATGTTCATGGATGCAGGAGTCAAGAGATTAAAAAAGCAAAACAAAACAAAACAAAAGAAACTCACATTGCATTAAGTGCTGCACAAGACCTCTCTCGAGTATTGAAAGGCAAGGCCACTGCACTGCTTTGAGAACTAGGGTGCACCTGACTCAAGCCTGGTGTTCCCATTGCATAGTATGCATGTGAAAGCTGGACACTGAATAAACGAGAATTGATGCATTTAAACTGTGGTGGAGAAGAATATTTAAAGTACCATGGACTGCTAAGAAGACAAACGGATCTGTCTTGGAAGAACTAAGGCCAGAGTGCTCCTTAGAGGCAAGGATGGGGAGACTTCTTACATTCTTCGGAGATGTTGTCAGGAGAGACCAGTCTGGAGAACATCGCGGGTGGTAAAGTCGCGGGGCAGTGAAAAAGAAGAAGCAAGCAACCAACGACCTAGCCACGGGGGCGGCAGCAGTGGACTCAGCACGGCCACAACTGTAAGGATGGCAGTGTTTCCCTCTGCTGGACATAAGGTCACTCTGGGCTAGGAACTACTGGACGGCATCTAACAACAGCAAATCTTGATGGGAGCAGACTGGCTTATCTTTCCCCTGCAGAGCAGCAGTGGGTCTGAAGCACCACCTGTGGTTAGCAGTTATCATACCTGGGTGTCCTAATCAGCTACAGAAGTCAATTATAACCACAAAGAGAAATGCATATATGGATAAAATGTCTTCTGCCCCACTGTACGCCCATCAGGTCCCATAACACTAGGTTGGTAAAGAATTATTCTATGAAATGCACATCTAAGTTTCTTTCTTTTAATTTTTCAATCGTTTTATTAGGGGCTCATACAACTCCTATCACAATCCATACAAACACCAATTGTGTAAAGCACATTTGTACAATCATTGCCCTCGTCATTCTCAAAACGTTTGCTCTCCACTTAAGCCCCTGGCATCAGGTCCTCATTTTTTCCCCTCCCTCATGAGCCCTTGATAATTTATAAATTATTATTTTGTCATATCTTGCCCTGTCCGACGTCTCCCTTACCCACTTTTCTGTTGTCCGTCCCCCAGGGAGGAGGTCACATGTAGACCCTTGTCATCGGTTTCCCCTTTCCAACCCACCCCTAAGTTTCTTATTTGCACCTTTAAGTTGCTCTGCATCATCTAATCATCTAAAGGGTAATGTGCTATCTCCACATGTTCCCTCTTACTTCTCTGATGTTACTTGCCACGCAACCACTCCAACCGTTCCATAGTCTATGTAAAGTTATTCAAATGCGCGATGCTTTATGCTACCTTGCCTTTGCTCGGAACATCTTACTTCAGTTCTTCGTCCAGGTATATTCCCGCTCTCCCATGCAAACTTCCCTCTTTCACGAGGCCCTTCTTAATTACCACAGACAGAGACAAGCATTCTACTTCCTGCACCCCTTTCTCTTCACTATCCAATCCTTATTATAGCAAATATAAAACGGTACAAGCAATTTTGGCACATAATAAGAAACCTTAAATCTAATTGCCGCCAAGTGGATTCTGACTCCTAGTGAACCTACTTAGAGTTTTGGGGACTGTAAATCTTTATGGGAGTAGACAGCCTCGTCTTCCTCTAGCAGGAAGCTGGTGGTTTTGAACTGTCGACCTGGCAGCTTACCCAACAGTGCCACCAGGGCTCCATAAGCACTAAACTGCTTGCTAAGTTAATGGGAAACAAGAAACATACCTCTGTTGGTCTCACCCAAGCCAAAGAACAAGGGATAGCCTGTGCTGGAAGCTTTGTGTAGCAACATCTGCAACAGAAAATTCAAATACGGTAATCATAATTTTAAACTGTATTTTACAAACTATCTCTTCCATTTTTTGATTCCAGTTAGTCCATTTTCTTAATAAGAGATAGAAATGTAATCACATGGTCCATTTGAATTAAGTCATGTAATAGATGATGACTTGCAATCTGCGAAACTAAGCGAGCATTAGTTTGAATAAAATATTCTGGCATAACATAGCGATCAGAAACCAGCTGATTAGAGTAACAGCGCCTGTGAAGTTCCATAAAACCCACAGATGAAGCAA